GACAGACATTCAGGCAAAACACCAATGCATATAAAATAAAAATAAATTTAAAAACGCAGAAAACCTGTTAGAAGGGTCCTGGGAATGTAGCTCGGTTGGTAGAATGTGTGGCATGTACAAGGCCCTGAGTTTGATCCTCAGCCCTGGATAAAACAGGTATGGTAGCACATACTTGGAATCCCAGTACTTGGGAGGTAGAAGCAGGAGGATTAGTTCCATGCTGGGTTTGAAGCCAAAGCCAGCCTGGGATTATTTTCCTTGAAGTCTTTTTTTTTTTTTTAATCACATGTGCCAGTCTGTCTTAGCCCTGGTCCAAGCTTCCCCTACTCCACCCACTCTTATCTGAGAGCAGAGGCACCCTAGGACTGTGCTGGCTAGGGCAGACAAGGCTACAGAGCATCCAGGATGTGGTCTATCTTTGTGACCAGCCTTACACTCTCCGGAGAGGAGTTTTCGTTCTTTGTTCACATGCTCTCCTCGAGCCTGCTGGCCCCCGCCTCCTCCCACTGACTTAAGCACCAGTCCTTGGCCTGCACAGGTTAAATCCTCCATCTTCAGTCTTTTGCCAGAAATCTCACTGGTTACATCCTTGCGCTCTGTTTCCAGGCTCATTTTGATACTCTCAGGAGTGGAGATGCCCCAGGACTCTTTGTACGTATTGATAATCTCATTGAAGGGACAGTAAGAACCTACCTAGCCTCTTGTGGACCAGGGTTGAAAGTGGTTCTATGATGCAGGCCACCTTCATCCTGGCTTCTATGGCAGGACCTTTTGGGATACCAATGTCCTGGAAGATCATGAAAGATAGGATGTGGCATGTAGCCACCCACAACGGCATGAATACCCTGACGAGGCCCCGAATGTACTGCTCAGCCAGATTCTTCTCTTCTTTTTTTTTTTTTGGTTATTGGTTTTTTGAAACAGGGTTTCTCTGTATTTTGGAGGCTGTCCTGGAACTCACTCGGTAGACCAGGTTGGCCTTGAACTCACAGTGATCTGCCTGCCTCTGCCTCCGACTCCCAAGTGATGGGATTAAAGGCGTGTACCACCAATGCCCGGCTTAGTATATCTTTTTTATTTTAAAAAATTTCCGCTGGGCGGGGGGGTGGCACACGCCTTTAATCCCAGCACTTGGGAGGCAGAGGCAGGTGGATCTCTGTGAGTTCGAGACCAAGTCTGGTCTACCAAGAGAGTTCCAGGACAGGCTCCAAAGCCACAGAGAAACCCTGTCTCAAAAAAACCAAAAAAATTTTTTCCATTAAATTTTGTGTGTGCAAGTGTGCATGTGGGTGTAGGTGCCTCTCTCTCTCTCTGTCTCTCTCTCTCTCTCTCTCTCTGTGTGTGTGTGTGTGTGTGTGTGTGTGTGTGTGTGTGTGTGTGTAGGACAGAGGTTGGGTGTCTTTCTCAGTGGCTCTCAGCCTTATTATTATTACTTATTGTAATCCTTTAAATTTAGTATTGGAGAGGAGCAGGTGTGCTCATGCCAAGATGGGCAGTTAGAGGACAACTTTGTTGAGCCTGTCCCCTACTTTCCACTTTACATGCTGTGATGGCTAATCTTAGTTGTCAAGCAGCTGGACCATTTGAGCTGGGAAGATACACATGTATGTATAGATGTATGTATGTTGTAGCGTTGCCATACTTCAGTTAGCAAGGTCAAACAACAAAGAAGCCTGTAGTAGTGGTGTACCCCAGTAATCCCAGAACTTGGGAGGTGGAGGTGGAAAGGTCAGCCTCAGCCCCAAAGGAAGAACAGGAGGACTGGGGAGATGACTCAGGGGGTAAAGTGCTTGCTATGAAAACAAACCTTAACCCAGATCCTGGCAGTGGTGGCGCACACCGTTAATCCCAGCACTTTGGAGGCAGAGGCAGGTGGATCTCTCTGAGTTCGAGGCCAGCCTGGTCTACAGAGGGATTTCTGGGACAGTCAAGGCTACACAGAGAAACCCTTGTCTCGGAAAAAACATGAGGTCTCATGTAGTTCAGGCTGATTGTCAACTCACTGCACATCAAGAATAACCTTAACTTCTGGTCTTCTCATTTCTACCTTCCAAGTGCGGGATTACACCACTGCCGTGTCCAGTTTACATGCTGCTACAGATTGAGCCCAGAACTCCCTGAATGATGTGCAAACACTCCGCCTACTGAGCCACGACCTCAGCTCCCCACTGTTAACAGGGCCTAGACCTTAGCACAGCTGACTCCATGATGGAGGTACCATTCAGGCCATAAAACTTAGGCAGTACTACCTGTCAAAATGAAACAAAGACCTAATCCATCAAAGTCCATAGTTCTGTCTGGGAAGGCTTCTAAATGTACTCACCTTGCTTTTTGGCTTCTGTAGTCTGCTTCTGGTTAATTGACCTTGCTAACATAAGTATGGCAACCCTACAACATGGTTTTTCTGCTTAGAAGTTCACCCCGAGAAAGGCTTGGTGCTACACTGCATCCCAAACACTCAGGGTAATCGATGGCCAGCTTTTTTATTGACTTCAATTCATGTCTGAGCAGTCTTCTCTGGTGGCTACCCCCACAACATCAATGAATTTTCCTTGCAGACATCATGGGACAGTAAGCTGTGTCTAAGTGCAGCTCATCTGAGCAAGGCTGACGTCATAGGGATTATCCACACACATGCTCCCGACACCTAGGGCAAGGTGGTCTCCACTGTTGGATGACCAGTTGCTCGACACAACCTCAGCTTCAGTGCAGACTGGTCATCCAAATTACAGGCACACTTGCAGAATGAGAGGTTGTGGCCACAGAAGTGGTGCCATCCACCAGGCAGGAACTTGATGCTGGACCTTCATTTCCAGAGTCATCCAACACTGTGTGGCTGGTAGAAACACTGCCAATCTCTTTTTGGCAGTGCACATCCTGGGCAGCAGCACAGAGGTCATTTCGCTGTCTCGCTGTGAGGTGAGGGAGGCCCCTTCAGCACAGCACGTGTGCGTCAGCTTCACGTTCTCTTCATGGCAACACGGCCACAGCGAGACCTAGGTCATGCTGGTCATGCTGGTCATGGTCATGAAAGCCTACGATGCTGATCGTGGTGGTGCAATCCACCAGCACTTGGGAGGCAAGGAAGGTGGAGCCTTGTGAATTGGAGACCAGCCAGCACAGTCTACACATAGTGTGTCCAGTACACCCAGGGCTACATGGAGAAACCCTGTCTCAAATACAAAAGGAAGGAAGGGAGGAAAGGAGGGAGGGAGGGAGGGAGGGAGGGAGGAAGGAAGGAAGGAAGGAAGGAAGGAAGGAAGGAAGGAAGGAAGGAAGGAAGAGAAAAGGCTATTGTTCTCACAGTCTAAAAACATCCTGACTGTAGGAAGGGCCATCTCTGAAAGGTCCCCAAAGCAGGGGGTTCACCATCTGGGCACATGTAGCTCTCCACATTTTCAGAAGCAAGTCTCACCCACCTGGTCTGGGTCTTTGTTGGAGAGGGTAGAAGTGATGGTTGTTAAGCACACACCTTTAATCCCAGCACTCAGGAGGCAGAGGCAGGCAGATCTCTGTGAGTTTGAAGCCGGGCTGGACTGACAGCCTCCAAAACAATACAGAGAGACCCTCTCTCATAAAAACCAAAAAAAAAAAAAAAAAAAAAAAAAAAGTGTTTCACTGCGTTGTAAGGATGGAAGCTTGTAAGAAGGATGAACATTTAAGCCAGGCACATTTAAGCCAGGGGTGATAGTAATGTTGGTAATCCCAAACTTCTAAGATAAAGGCAGTGATACAGTGTCTCATAAAATACACAGCCGAGCTGGGCGTTGGTGGTGCACGCCTTTAATCCCAGCACTCGGGAGGCAGAGGCAGGCGGATCTCTGTGAGTTCGAGGCCAGCCTCGTCTACAGAGTGAGTTCCAGGACAGCCTCCAAAACAATACAGAGAAACCCTGTCTCGAAAAACCAAAAAAAAAAAAAAAAAATACACAGACGAGCACTCGTAAGGGCATTCTGTATATAACAAATAACTTTATATGTTGACAGTCGGTCTCCCCCTTCCCCCAGTTTAAGAAAACAAACAAAAAACCACCCACCACTTGAGCTCTGTTGAGTGGCTTCTTTCTCTCGTGCCGCTTTTTAAATTACAACATTCAACGGTCGGTTTGAATGAAATAAAACGACGGTCTCTCAAGGGAGGGCCAGTCCTACACGTGGATCTGGCTAGCCTCGATCTCAAAGACATATGCCTCGGGAGTGCTGGGCTCAAAGACCTGCACCATCCCATCAGCTGCAGGTGTTTCAGATAGGGACTCATGCAGCTCGGCTGTCCTCAAGCTTTCCAAGAACTCTGACTCTTCCTGCCCCTGTTTCCCAAGTGCTGGAATAAACGTCCTTCGGGAACCACTCCAGGGCTTAACTCTAAGACTCAGCAACCACAACTGTAACAGCAGGGGGGAGTGTCAACGAGAAAAGCTTTTTTGTTGTTTTTGTTCAGTATATTGTTCCTGTGGCAGTCCTAAAATGAAGAGAGGAAAGAAAACGATGACAAGAATTGAGAGACCGTTGAGATGAGGAACCTGGTGTTTTCCAGTCCAGCCTTATTTTATTTATTTATTTATTTATTTATTTATTTATTTATTTATTTGGTTTTTCGAGACAAGGTTTCTCTGTGGCTTTGGAGGCTGTCCTGGAACTCGCTCTGTAGACCAGGCTGGCCTCGAACTCACAGAGATCCGCCTGCCTCTGCCTCCCGAGTGCTGGGATTAAAGGCGTGCGCCACCAACGCCCGGCTCCAGCCTTATTTTATAAGCGAGGAATTGAGTTGAAATAATTCGTAATTTTCATTTGGCCTCATTAGAAGTCCAAACTGTGAGGCTGGGTTTCGCCTTCTTCCCCAATGGTGGTTGGTGTGTTGGTGGCTTAGGAACGGTCTAGGCCTGGAGCACCGAGAGGTGGGAGGAACCGTTCACTGACAGACCAACTGGGGCTCGGGAGGCGATCGCGCTTCCGGAGCGCGCAGACGGTGTCTGCGGGGCGACTTCCGGCGGAGGCGTAAACAAGGCCCTCTCGGCTGGAGGCGGGGCGGGCTGCGAGTGCGAGCCGTCTTGGCCGCTCTCCCGCTCAGAGCCGGGTCCGGGTGGCACCGCGGTCCCCGCGACACCCGCAGCCGCTGACCGCGCGCGCCTCAGCGCTCGGCCGGGAGGCGGAGGCGCAGCGCAGGGGAGGCGGGTGGCTAGCGCTGGCTGCGCGCCGGGGTCCGCTGCTCAGCTTTCCTTTGTCTCCCGCCTGCGGGGCCGCAGCGGTCCTGGTGCACAGCCCTGCAGCCGCAAGATGGCAGATGGCAACGAGGATGCTCGAGCGGACGACCTGCCAGGCCCGGCCTTCGAGAACTACGAGGCCATGGAGCTGGCCTGCCCGGCCGAGCGCAGCGGCCACGTCGCCGTCAGCGATGGGCGCCACATGTTCGTCTGGGGCGGCTACAAGGTCAGCGGGGCAGGGCGGGCTCCGTTTGCGGGGGGCGACAGTCGCGGCGGCTCTTGTTCATTCAGGGGAGCATCTTCCTTCCCTGCCTCCGTGGACTCCGGGCACCTGGGCTGTTGTCACCGCTCTCTTGACTTATGAGTCAGCCTACGCTCCCCGCCCCCCGCGTTGTTGTCTTTGGAGCCAGCAGAGCCAGGCTGTGCTGTGTGGGTTGAGTAGCGGGTGACTGTGGCCCGAAGTTACGGAAAGGGGTGGTGGCGAGGTTGTGCGAGAGTCACTCATACCTTTGGCCCAGGTCACCCACGAAGGCTTTACCATCCCGAGTTGGGGCCAGTTAGCCGACAGATACTGTATTGTTTGCCCACTGTGTGAACCAAGGCCACAGGAATCGCTTCCTCAACCTTCCCGAAGGTGTAGCGGTGCCATCGACACCTGTGACGATGCCCACCAACCGATTGTATGAACGCAGGCCCATTTTCCTTAACTGGTTTCAGCTGAGGAAGGATTGCCCCTCAGAAGACCTTACACGAAAATGAAAGGGAAAAATTCCCCGTCACACTTGTAATTGGAGTGTAGTTCTCTGGCCTTTGTCACCAGGTATTTGTTTAGAGTCATTTGCGCTGAGTGTTATACCCCGAGCTGGGGAATACTGCTCTGTTGTCTTCTATTTAAAACGGTGCTAACTGGTTCTGTTATACTGGTTTTAGAACTCCACGATATGCTCTAGTTCTTGGATTTAATTTGATTTACACCGATTTGATCTATTTGAACCACAAAACTATGAATACTGTTTTAATGTTAAAATGACCTCCCCCTTGGTATTGGCTTGAAATTCAGTTCTCTGCACCCGTGCTGGAACTGTTTGCTTAGGGACTCTAGTAACAGTTTAGCTCATGGTACTGGCGATCTGATCATAGTTGGCCACTTTTGAGATAACTGTCCCAATAACTTCATTTGGTTTAACCATTAATTATTTCGCCAGTCCTCATTAATTTATCATGTTGTCCTAGCATCCAGGGACTAGGTTTTTAGAGTTGGTGTCCAAAACTTCAGCGGTAGAGAGCAGATGTACAGTGACCACTATTAAAATGTAAAATCTGGGGTTGGAAGGGTGACTCAGTAGTTAAGAGAATTGGCGACATTTCTGGGTTGGAGTCCTAACACCCACATAGCAGCTCACAACTGTAACTCCAGTCCCAGGGGATCTGACGCCCTCCTCTGCACTGCACCAGGGGGTGCATGGATAGTTATGCAGGCAAAACTTACACACATAAAATTAATTTTTTGTTTTTTGTTTTTTACTAGACAGGGTTTCTCTGTATTGTTTTGGATGCTGTCGGTCCATCCTGGCCTCGAACTCACAGAGATCCGCCTGCCTCTGCCTCCCGAGTGCTGGGATTAAAGGCGTGCGCCACCACCGCCTGCAAAATTAATATTTTTTAAAAATGTAAATTTTCTTTGAGGAAGGGTAGACCTGTTGATCAATCACACTTCACTCTAAACTGTGTTATTCACAATTCTGTTTGTAAAAAAACTAGCATTGAGCCATAGTGTGTTGGGAAATTGTCAGAGTGGGAAATTTCTGATGTTGGGTTTATAAGGTCTCAATGCCTTGAAATTAGCCACTGTCAGTGAAGTAGGTGATACAGAAGCCGCAGTCCTCCGCTTCAAACAAAGACAGGGTTTAGGTAGCTCTGGCTGGGCTGTAAGTTGCTATGTCAACCAAGCTGACCTCAAACTTCCAAAAATCCATTTGCCTCTGCCTCTACCAGTGCTAGGATTTAAGGTGTGTGCCATCACTCCTGGCAACTTCTACATGTCTTTGATTGGAACCCTTGGAGATCTGAGGCAATAATCTGGCTTCTTCCTAGTAGTGGAAGTTGTCATCGTCCCCAACCCTAGGCAGGCTGGTCAGCCCACTGTTTGCTTACTAGTCTTGTGACCTTTACTTCTCTTACCACTCCTGGAGGAAAGAAGAGTTGCATGGCTGGCTGTTCCATTACCATATAAGATTCAAGTGTGTTGGGCCTTGACTCATTTTCAGTGAAGAGCGGTTTTTACTGTATTTTGTCATGATCAGAAAGTGGCTAGGTACAGTCCAGGAATGCAATAAGGCAGTCCTCACAGGAAAGACAAATTATTTATACTTTAAAATCTTGTAATAACTTTTTTTGTTGAGGTTAAATAAAGAAATTTGAGGACATATAGTAAACTTTGTCTTTGTTAGAGTTAATACTTGAAGGGACCTAGAGTAGAGCAGAGCAAGGAAATTACAGTTGTTGCTGAAGATGCACTATTTGCATAGTTGTAGTTTTGCCCTCAGAATGGATGGAAGGAAAGTTTGGCTAGAACACCATGTGAGCATGGGCAGAGCATTTAAGTCAGGAACTGAAATCAGGTGAGTGGTCTGGTCTTTTCAGGGTACAGCATGACCTTAGTGCGGCAGTTCTCAACCTGTGGGGTTGAACGACTCTCAGGGCTTGCCTAAGACCATTCTGCATATCAAATATTTATGTTATAGTTCATAACAGTAGCACAATTACAATTATGAAATGTTAACAAAATTGTTATGGTTGGGGATCAGCACAACATTAGGAACTGTATTAAAGGGACTCCTTGGGGTCCTTGTACTATTTGCAAGTGTGTCAAATGTTTGAAGGTCTGTCGCCTAAGCATTCCCATGAGCTATCAGTGTCATAACTAGTATCTCAGATGAGATACAAAACCCCATAAAATGCTTCTTTAAACAAGCCTGATGATCTGAGTTGGAGCCCCAGAAGCCATGCAAGGGTGGAGGGAGAGAACTGACTCACAAGATTGTCCTCTGGCCTCCACATAAGCACGGTGACACTTGTGCTGACAACTCATAGCACATACACACAGCACACTAGTAATACATTAAAAAGTAAAATGGCCCTCCAAAGCCACAGAGAAACCCTGTCTCGAAAAACCAAAAAAAAAAAAAAAAAAAAAGTAAAATGGCAGTCGTGTATACTTGCAATCTTTCTTATTCTTCATAGAGTAATCAAGTGAGAGGATTATATGACTTTTATCTGCCCAGAGAAGAGCTTTGGATCTACAACATGGAGACTGGAAGATGGTAACGGGCTATTGGGGCAGGTGGTGGTGGTGGGGCTTATAAACTTCAAATAAGGTTGCAAAGTAAGATGAAAACCCATTCTGGGGGAGGGGGGCTGAGACAGGTCTCTACATAGCTCTGACTGTCCTAGAACTTAACTGTGTAGTCCAGACTGACCTTGAACTCAACAGAGATCCACCAGACTCCTGGGATTAAAGGCATAATGCCCAGCTGAAAACCCATTCTGATTAATGAGAATAATGTAGTTAAGGATGCTAAGCTCTCTCTATTCTAGTTTAGATTAGTTGCTGAGCTTAGTAAATACCAGATAATGTCATGCTCTTAGAAGCCTCTAATCAAGGCTTGGTCAAAGTACCCTGAGGTAGGTGATGGCTAGAACTTGGAATGGGAAGATGTTACAAGTGTGGTTTGGTATTTTGAAAAAGAGGTCTTTAGTTTGCTGTAATTGTTAGGTTTTGCATGGTTTCTAATTTATCAGCTCAAAAGAAGTTTTGAGAAAGTCTCTTTTAGAGTACTATTTTCTGGGTTGTATTAGTAGTTGAGTAGCAAAGTGCTTGCCTGTCCAACATGAGGCCCAGGCTTGATTTTTTTTCACCTAGAAAAAAAGATGTGTTTAAAAAATGAGCCTGGCGTTGGTGGTACACGCCTTTAATCCCAGCACTCGGGAGGCAGGAGGATCTATGTGAGTTCAAGGCCAGCCTGGCCTACACATCGAGTTCCAGGACGACCTCCAAACCACAGAGAAACCCTGTCTTGAAAAATTAAAAAAAAAAAAAATGAGCTGGGCAGTAATGGCACCTGCCTTTAATCCCTAGCACTCAGGAGTCAGAGGCAACCAGATCTCTGTGAGTTTGGGTCCAGCCTGGTCTACAGACTTCCAGGACAGCCAGGGTTACACAGAGAAACCTGTCTCAAAAAAACAAAACAAAAAAGTTACCCAGTGATACTTGAGGGATTCTCAGGGTCCTCTGCCTGTAAATAACAGTGAGTCAAGGACATGTTAGTAGTCTGTGTGGGTTCTCAGAGTACTGGGCTTCTAAAGGTGTTCCCAGTAGTTCGTTTCATGAAAACCTTAGACTTTAAAAGACTTGTTTACTATCTTATTGTCAGTCTTGAAGCCAGGATGGTAATCCTATTTAGTTTAAGGCAGGTCACAATTATTTTTGTAAATAGTAAATCAGTTCATATGGACTATTTGCTAATCTTTTTTAGAGGACTGGAAAATTCCCAAAAGAGGAATTCAACATATTTCTTTTTTTTTTTTTTTGGTTTTTATGAGACAGGGCTTCTCTGTATTTGGAGGCTGTTGGTCCAGCCTGGCATCGAACAGAGATCCGCCTGCCTCTGCCTCCCGAGTGCTGGGATTAAAGGCGTGCCCCACCACCGCCCGGCTCAACATGTTTCTTAAGATCAAGAATTTAAATAAGCCTCCTTCAAGCTAATCACAGATAAAGTAATAATAATTGGTGATGTGATCAGGAGACCTGAGGTGGACTGTTAATTTTCTGAGTCTTTATAGCTGAGCATGGTTATGCTTTCATTTAATTGTAGCAGGCAGATCTCTGTGAGTTCTGGGCCAGCCAGGACTACATAACTGTTAGTATTACATAGGGCTTATTTAAATCACTAAAAGTTGACTTAATTTTTTAAAAATCTGTTGAATTACTCTGTCAGCACTGGGAATGTTGATGCTTTCCTTTTAGATCCTTGGCCTACTTAAAAGCAAACTAAGGTCATGGGGTTGGCTCAGTTAAGTAAAGGCGATTGTTGTCAAGCCTGGTGACCCAGAGTCCACACGGAGGCAGATTTCCATGTGTATGCTGTGACACAGCTGTGCCCAAACATACACACAAATCAGTGTAACACAGGGACCTCTCCCAGTCAGTTAAGACCATAAAGCCAGCAGTTTGAGAAATGGTCTGAAATCAGAGGCTTTCAGAACCTTTCATTCTGCTTGTGTACGGCTGTCTTCCACTGTCAGGTAGCTGTAAAATGGGGAAGCTGATTCCTTGAGTTATCTTGAAGCTAGAAGACCCTAGATATTGTCAGCCTTCTTTCTCTTATTGTGGGATGTAAGTTAATAAGCCTTGTGTTTCTTACCCTCTGGAAAACTTGTCTAACCCTCTTTTAGGAAAAAAATCAACACTGAGGGTGACGTTCCTCCTTCCATGTCTGGGAGCTGTGCTGTGTGTGTAGACAGGGTGCTGTACTTGTTTGGAGGACACCATTCCAGAGGCAATACAAATAAGGTTAGTGGTTTTGAATGATTATGGTTCTAAGCAGTTTTCTCCTTCCATTTTCAACCGCATTTCTAAAGTTCAGCTTATACTTGTGCACTCTAAGTATGTACTTGTGTGTGAATGTGTAGTATAGTAATGTCCTCTAGTGTTGTACCAGTCTGTGTACTAGGCCTTTGTAAAGTAAGGGTTAGCAGCCTGTGTGTAGTGATAACTTCCTAGGTGTTTTTGCTTGTGCTCTCAATTTTTCTCTTGACTGCTCTGAGTGGTAGGGAATGTTAACTGGAAAGTATTTTCAAAGACAATTCAGACAAAGAATTTGCAGTAAACGGTAAAGGAGAACTCAGAAAGTCACAGGGATAAATTAATACTAAAAAAAGCTGGGTGGCCGTGGTGGCACACACCTTTAATCCCAGTACTCGGGAGGCAGAGGCAGGTGGCGTACAAATTGAGTTCCAGGACAGACAGGACTGTTACACAGAGAAACCCTATCTTGAAAAACCACAAAGAAAGAAATAGTAAAATAATTCTTTTTAATGTTGCTCTAGGACACATGCTGCTTTGATTTTGTCCATGATTTTTTGTAAATAGGAAAAGAGGTCAGTATTTTTCAGGCACACAGTTTTTAGGTAGAGTCCTCTTAACTCACTCACTTTACAGCGTAGTAAACGCTACATGCAGAGTGCAGAGTTGGACATGGAGACAGAGATGTGTGATGCAGTTGGAGTTCAGCTCAGGTTCCGGGAGACACCTAAGGACTAGGACTGAATGGCTGCAGTCAGGGTTTGTGGGAGCTCAGGCAGTGCTTCAGTTGAACAGTGACAAGTCACAGTTCAAGGAGATGTCAGGTGGCTCTGTGATTTTGAGATTATACGAGGAGCACTGTGGTGTGTGTCACTTAAGTTCCAGATCATTCCTCCTTTCCTTGTATGAACCAATGTAGATGTGGTAGAAACATAAGTGGACACTACCTGAAAAGACTTAGAAGGGAGCAAAGCTGGTTCCCAGAGGGTGGTGACAGAGTGATTAATACAACGCTGCTAGAGTTCAGGGTTTTACATTTGACCAGAAGGAAACTTAGGTGTCTCGGAAAGGTGAGGTGTGTGTGTTCTCTTACCTGGATTTGAATCCTGAGACCAGTATTTAACTTTTAGATCCCCTAGAACTGCAGTTATAGACTGTTATAAGCTGCCATGTGGGAACTGGGAATCAAGCCCAGGTCAGACTGCTCTTCCAGAGATCCTGAGTTCAATTCCCAGCAACCACATGGTGGCTCACAACCATCTGTAATGGGATTTGATGCCCTTTTCTGGCTTGGAGCTTTACATGCAGAGCACTTATACAGAAAATATAAATAGAATTAAAAAAAAACTTACATTCTGTTGTAAATTTATAATCTTGACACAGACCAGTGTAGCAGCCAGTCTGTAGTCACACTTGGCACTGAATTAGATGGCACCTTTATCACAAAAATACAGGTAAAAATAAATGTCAATATTGAGTTTTCTATGTAATGAAAACTAACTGAAATCATTGCTTCTGACAGTTCTACATGCTGGATTCAAGGTCTGCAGACAGAGTGTTACAGTGGGAAAGAATTGATTGCCAAGGAATCCCTCCATCATCAAAGGACAAACTTGGTGTCTGGGTATATAAAAACAAGTACGTTTGAAGCACTGTAGGTTTGGCCTTTTGTGCAGAATGTAGTTACCCTGTAAATACCCTAGTCAGCTTTACAGATGCGCATGGAGCACATCACATAGTAAATTAATACACGAGTGCCCTAAAAGCTAGTTGTCATGTTAAGCATTAGTTGACTAACATTTCCATATACTCATGTACTCAACTCATTCCAGATACCGAAGTTTAAAATATCCTGTGACCTAGTTTACAGATACTTATTTCTTTATGTTTTGGTTTTATATCAAACAGGTTAATATTTTTTGGAGGGTATGGATATTTACCTGAAGATAAAGTATTGGGAACTTTTGAATTTGATGAAACATCTTTTTGGGTAAGTGAAGTTTCATATTGCACATGGCCTACTTAGTATGTTAAAAATACATTCTATTTTGTTTTCACTTTCTGAATTTTTATTACATTTTGAAAATTTAATTTTGTGCTTTGGTGCAAGTGACACAGTTTCAAAGTCAGAGGACAACTTGGGGGAATTGGTTCCTCCTACCAAGTAGGTTCTGGGATTCAGCTTAGGGCATCTGGCTTGGCAGCAAGCACCTGTACCAGCTGAGTCACCCACCAGCTCAGAAATCATTTCACACTTCCCAGCCATTCTCTTCATTGCTTGTTAGTAAACCGGGCATGCAAGTGTTATGTCATTTTATAAACAGTATTTGTAAAATAACGCAGATTCTTTTCTGTAGAATTCAAGTCATCCAAGAGGATGGAATGATCATGTACATATTTTAGACACTGAAACATTTACCTGGAGCCAGCCCATTACCACCGTGAGTTACTGAAGAATGAAGTGGACACCAGAGTTGGGAGGGGCCTGAAATTGACAGTTCCTTCTTGTTGTTTTCTGGAATGAGGCAGTCTGTAGATTTATTGCTCTTCAAGGAGTAAAAGCCTCAGAAGTTTAACAAATACATTAGGTGGTGGTGGCCTTTAATCCCAGCACTTGGAAGGCAGAGGCAGGTGGATCTCTGAGGGGTAAGTTCTAGGACAGCTAGGACTGTTACACAGAAACCCTGTCTTAAACAAAACACACACACACATCTGTGTTGTACCTTCATTTGCTAGTAACTAAATCAAGTTTTAAATTGAAAGTTTAAGATTAGATTTCTTTCCTTATAAGGATAGTATGCAATGTGCCAGTCTTTTATTTATTTATTTACTTGCTTGTTTTGTTATTTGAGACAGGGTTTCTGTGTATTGTTTTGGAGCCTGTCCTGGAACTTGCTCTGTAGACCAGGCTGGCCTCTGAACTCACAGAGATCTGCCTGCCTCTGCTTCCCGAGTGCTGGGATTAAAGGCGTGGGCCACCAACACCTAACTTGTTTTTGTTTTTTTTTAAACTTGTTTATTTTTATTTTATGTGCATTGGTATTTTCCCATGGGTGTTGGGTCCCCTGGAATTGGAATTACAGTCATGAGCTGCCATGTGGGTGCTGGAAATTGATTCTGGGTTGTCTGGAAGTACAGTCAGTGCTCTTAACCACTGAGCCATCTGTCCAGCCCCCATCTTTTTTTTTTTTAATTAGCTGTTCTGACATACTAACTCATTCAGTAACAGTCTCAGAAATATAATGTTCAGTTGTAGTATCAGCTTTTAATACTATTGCTGTCAATAAATCGTACTTTGACCTTTAAATGTCTGAGTGTCTGGCATAATTTGGTTCTGTGAAATTCAGAAAAGATCGATATTTTCCCTGTTTGTAAAGTTCACATATTTATAATGCTGTTTTTATACCTTTTTAATAGGGTAAAACACCTTCACCTCGTGCAGCCCATGCCTGTGCAACTGTTGGAAACAAGGGCTTTGTGTTTGGTGGCAGATACAGAGTGAGTATAGAAAAGTTTTTAACGACATGCTTTTTAATGACTTGCTTTTGGATGCTTCAAATGGTAACTTACTTACTTAACTTTTTTAGGATGCTAGAATGAATGATCTCCACTGTCTTAATCTGGATACATGGGAGTGGACTGAATTGTAGGTATTACCTTAGATATTTAGAAAAGCTTTCCAAAATACATTTCAGACCTACCCCTTTTCTAGTAGTATGTAATAAATGTGCTTCCAGTTTCTGTAATTTGGGTTCTAAATAAACATGATTACTGGGGTCCTTAAGGAAGGAATTTTATTTTTATTTTCAGTTTCCCTAACTATGTCCCTGGTATATCATGTTTGTTGAAAAGAAAGTCTAAAGTTGATTCTGCCTTCAAAGAACATAGTTCAGTATAAAGTATGTAGTTAATACTGAGAGGTTTCTTTTTCTTAAGCATGTGTCTGGATATAAGATGTGCATACATGATGTATGTTTGTGTGGGTGCATGTTGTGTGTGTAAGTGTATATAGGTCCAAAGCTGACATCAGGGGGTCTTCAACATTGTCTACCATATTCATTGAGGAAGTGGTCTCTCAGCTAAACCCAGAGCTCATCAATATGGCTGGCTAGCCTGCTTGCTTAGAGGATCTCATTGTGGGATTCAAACGCCACTCAGTGCCACTACATGGACTGACAGGTGGGCTGTCGTGTGCTCTTGTTACTTACGTAGGTGCTGGGGATCTGAATGGTCCTCAAGCTTTTATGGCAGTTTTCCTGAGACCCCAGGAAACCTTTTTCAAGTTTTCTTTTTCTAATAATCCATATACATTTTTAAAGAAATCTTCAACATTTCTCTGTGGTATCTGGTTTAAATGTAAGATTTTTATGTATAAGGTGATTATGTGTGCATGTGGAAACTTGAGAATAGTCTCTGGTGTACTCAGTGGTGTTCACCTTTTTTATTTTGGGGTGGTTTTTTGTTCTTGTGACAGGGTCTTACACTGTCAAACTTGTGAAAGAAAGCCTTCTACCTCAACCTTCCATGTGCTGGGATTCTGAGTGTGAAGCTGTTTTTCCTTTTGAGACAGGGTTTCTCCCTAGCTTGGGATTTGCCTAGTAGGACAGGTCAGCATACTCTAGGGGTTCACATGGGATTGCAGGCATGCATCATGCCTGCTCCCCCCACCCTTTTAAGTAATGTGTGGGTTCTACCAGTGGAACTCAGGCTCTGAAGCACTTATTGACTGAGTTCTCTCCAAGACTCTAGCCACAGATAGTATAACTCTGCTGTTATTTTTAGAATTCCACAAGGCATATGTCCAGTTGGCCGTTCCTGGCACTCACTGACACCAGTGTCTTCAGATCATCTTTTTCTCTTTGGAGGATTTACCACTGAAAAACAGCCACTAAGTGAGTCCTTTAAATATATCTTGCTGTCATATATCATAGTTATGCATTAGAAGTGTACTACTCACTGAAATTCAATCCTAGCTGTATCCTTGCAGGTGAACTTCATGTTGACCCTGTAACACCTTATAATTGTACATATTATGACCTAAATCCATTCTGCCTGGTTTAAAATTTTTACTTTGAGCACTTAAAGTCACCGCTGAAAGGTTGTACATGCAGTGGCCTTACTTCTGTAACCACAGGGAATAGGATTTAACTTAGTGCGTTTCGTGCTAAAGTGCCAAACTGTCAGGATGAACATAACTTAATAGCTTTTTCTTTTTTTAATCAGGTGATGCCTGGACTTATTGCATCAGTAAAAACGAATGGATTCAGTTTAATCATCCTTACACCGAAAAGCCAAGGTATGAACTACCTGAAAGGTGTAATTTCTTAACAATTAATTCGTTAAGTCCCATGAGTATATAGGATGTTTTGGCTGGATTTTTATCCAACATTCTTAGGAAAGATATACTTCCCAAAAGACCAACCAACATTACCTGAATGTCCAAAGCTCGCTTTCGCACTGTCTGTATAAAGAACTCTGTTAATGCTTTAAACTTTTCAAGAATGTACATGGAAGAAAGAAAAATCAAACCAAGAGTTGTTCATGGTTTGTAGTAGAATTATTTAAGGAAGATTAAGTAAAACTTTTCAGAGGCAGGAAAAAAAATACGGGGTGAGTGGGCACATACCTGTAATACAGCCCTTAGAAGCCAGAAACAGGAGGATCAGGAGATCAGGGGCTCTGGGCTACATGAGATAGTAAAAACTTTTCTTTTTTAAACACTGACAGGATAGTTTTCTTTTAGTCTCCAAAGGAATTACTATGGGCAATTACATACTTAGACATTGGTATTAGAAGTGAATTTAAGTATGCCAGCCCCTCTATGTTTTCATCCAAGTATAGTCATTCTGCTAAGACACTTGACAGAGGTGACCTTTCCTTCCACAGAATTATCCAGGGTGGAGAGCTTTAGTGATTTACTGCAGTCTTCAAGTCACTGTGTGTGAGGCCAACTCCCCTGCCACTGCTTAGTCCCCATAAGACTTACTGCTAACAAAGACCTGATTGTTTGCTTACAGTCTCACATTATGTAGCTCTGGCTGGCCTGGAACTCATGTGTAGACTAGATTGGCCTCAGACTTAAGAGATCCACCCGCCTCCACTTTCAGCATGCTGGGATTGAAGGTGTGTGTGACACCAAGGCTAGCTAATTAAAGAGCTTTTACTTGAAATTGGAATTCTTGCCATATTTGGTCTGAATGTAGTTTAGAGTCAGTTTGGACTTTTGAGTTACATTAAACTCAAGCTTTTTTGTTTTGCATGCAGGTTATGGCACACAGCTTGTGCAAGCGATGAAGGAGAAGTAATTGTTTTTGGTGGTTGTGCAAACAACCTGCTGGTCCATCATAGAGCTGTAAGTGCCTTTACTGCTGATGAGCGAAACATTTGTGTGTGTGCAGGTGTGTGCCATGGATGAGGACAATACTTGTCCTCCCATCGTCTAACTCAGGTTGTCATCTATGGCAACAGGAGCCTTTATCAGGTGAAACTTGCTAGGCTTTTTAAAATTTTTTTGGAGACAGGGTTTCTTTGTGTAGCCCTATTCTGGAACTCTCCTCTGTAAACCAGGCTGGCCTTCAGGTATCTGCCTGCTTCTGCTTCCTAAGTGCTGGGATTTAAGGCATGCACCACCACTGCCCAACTGCTTGTTTATTAAAACTCATGTGATTGGTGTTTTGTCTGCATGTGTGTCTATGTGCCATGTGCATACAGTTCTCATGAAAACCAAAAGAGGGCATTAGCTCCCCCTAGAGCTGGGGTTACGAATAGCCCCAAGGTGGTACTGGAAACTAAACTCAGATCCTCTGGAAGAGCAGACAGCTGAGCCATCTCTCCAAGGCCTGTGAGTGCTAGGTAGGACTTCACCAGCACATATTCCCAGCTTTGGGTCCAGCTCTTGCCCTTGCTGGGCTAGGACCTGTAGTCCTCCTGTCTTGCCTCCTAGAGCTGGGGTTACAGGAATGCACCACACCAGCCTGCTTTCAGCATTTGCATTTTAACGTAGTCTTTTTTTCTTCCAGGCACACAGTAATGAAGTACTTACATTTTCAGTTCAACCAAAATCTCTTGTACGGTAAGTTCTTACCAGGTACTTGGTACCAGGTACATGACTATTTAAAGGCAATAATGAATCTTCATTCAAGCTAATGTAAACTTACTTTTTTTTTCTTGTCTACTTTTAGGCTAAGCTTAGAAGCAGTCATTTGCTTTAAAGAAATGCTAGCTAATTCGTGGAACTGCCTTCCAAAACACCTACTTCACAGTGTTAATCAGAGGTTTGGTAGTAACAACACTTCTGGATCGTAAGGCCTCGTAGATAATAATTCTCATCTACTTGCATGGAAAACAACCCTGTATTTGTCACAGAGTGGCATCCTTTGTATACTTATATGTATTGTTGTAGTTTGCAGCTTTCTGGGTTTTATGTGCATGTGAATGGCCTAGAGAACTTATTTTTGTGTCTAAAGTTTACAATAAATGTATTTAACACCAGTAACTGTCCATTGTTAAAGTAAAAGAAAAAAATCACTACATTAGCTTTTTATACCAAGAATGGGTATAACATTTTTACATTTATCTTTTGATAATTTGGATGTAATGTATCTGTAGAAACTGGAAAAGCTACATTTTTAGCCTTGCACTTCATGTAGCCAAGGCTGATCGTCTTGACTCAGTAATACTCCAACCCCTCCTCTCCAGTACTAGGATTAAGAGTGTGCTGTCACATACACCTGGGTGTGTGTGGTGATGGTGGGGCAATGGGAGTGAAGAGTCGTATATATGATACAGCCCAAGCTACAATTAACTTAGCACTTATGTGTTGGTATAATCCTGGAACAGGTGGTCATGTTTACTATTTAGCTAATTAAAAGTGGCAGTATGTACCTTGTGAAGGGAAGAGAGATAAAATGTATGACTTTATTCTCTGTTCTGATGCAAGAGAGAAGAAAACTGGACCAGGAATCTTTAAGGATAAGCCTAAAAAATGCACTTCTGATAATCTTGACAGATAAAACATTATTTGATGGAAAAGAAAATGTCACAAAACTGAATGACATTAAGAAGGAGAAATTAGGGTTAAAGGTGATGTATATGAATGCACAGAAACAATTGTCATTTTCCTCTGTGTGTTGTTTTTTGCATTTGATGTAAGTTTTTGACAAAATTTTCAAGACACAAACTCTAAATGTTACTTGCCCCCACAGAACCAAACAAACCCCTTGCGATTGGCTGTGGTATGTGTGTATTAGATGTTCTATACAGTAAGCCTCCGGCCAGTATAATGCAGTTGAGCCACTTTAAGTCTTTACAGCATTAAATGAAACCTCAAGAATGTCGATAAATGCAGAACAATTACAGATGTGTATCATTTAACAAATATTTTAGGAAATACTATTGTAATAGTTTATATATGTATATATATATAAAACTTGGGAAAAAAACTTAAGTCCTTTTGGTGATATAGCAAGGCAATGTGTTCATTTGTAAATGTGGAAGTCCTATTAACATGTCTGCATCTTTGAACTTCCAAAGGCTATAAAATTGGCTCTTCACAGTGTTTCAGGATTTCATTTCAGCTATTTTCTTTTTACATGAAGAAGATTAGGTGCGGACACTTTCACTTTGCCAGGAATGTTTCTTGATAAATCTGTGTCCTAAAAAAAGAGAAGTGCTTAATGTTTCCATGTCCCATGTAGTAAGTCATGTTTAGGACAATCATATATATTCTACTGTCAGAAGAAAGGCATTTTATAACTTTGCTGAGTTGATTATTATGGCTCCTAGTAACAGCATTGAATCAAGACAATAGAAAAGATCTTGATCAGACCACCAATCACCAGAGTTCTGAAGGAAAACTTTACCTTTACACTGCGGAATAAATCTTTTTCTCTTGCTGTTGCTTCTTTGGAGTGCATGAAACTATTCAAGGCTGTTTTTGCAGCTGTAAATAGAGAGCTGGAGAATGTACTTCTGGTTCAGTCACTTAAGCTATTTTAAAATAACAAAAAAAAAAAGATCCCACGTTACCTTTTCCCTTTTTCTGAACTCCAGGAGTAAGTTTCACTTTGTACCTTAAAAAAATATTGCATGAGTTACTACATGGAAATTTAAGAGACTCATAAAGACATTGTGGCAGCTATTACAAGTACAATAACAATGGCTTACTTATAATTTGTCATGGTGGTATAAGGAGCACATATTGGAATAGCAAACATTAGTACATCTTCAGGATGTGGCTGCCCTGTCAAAGAATCGAACAGATTTTCCTAAAAGAGGAAAATAAAAACAATTATAAAAGGAATTTATGCCAGCCAGACTTTAGCCTTTTCTGACAGATATCTGACAGCAGTGCCCAAACTGCTTTTGAGTTCCAAGGAACTGAAATGTAATGTTTGAATATATATTCCTTACATTTTTCCCTACAATATTCGGCAATGGGAACATTTTTCAAAGCACTATTTAATGACTTTTAGAAAGAGGAAGACAAATGGGACATTTCATTGCAACTAAGCTGCAGGGAAGCTACTGTGGATTCAAAAGACGAATACTAATAACTTCAAGGAGTTTAAGTCTGTTGCAAGGAATGTAGGCTAGGTCAGTAACTTTTCTTTTTCATGTGTAGAAGCTTCTATTAACTTAAGTCTCTTACTGAACTCAGAGTTCAGAGGTTGGGCAAGCCTAGCTGGTCAGTAAGCCTCTTGTTTCCACTTCTGCAGTATCAGCGTTAAAAGTACATGCTATCTTGCCTGGTTTTCATGTGGGTGCCGAGGACTCAGATCCTCATGTGTGCATGGCAAGCATTTTACAGACTGAGGAGTTTCATGAGGCAAAATAGTAGCTTTTGCTGTCCCAGAACTCATTGTAGATCAGGCTGACATCATCTATCCATCTCTGTCCCGAGTGCTGGAATTAAAGGCATGCACTACCACACTTCAGCTAGACCAATAATTCTGAAACGGGGACTTTGTCCCACTACAGGAGACTCGCCAGTATCTAGGCATAGTTTTGGCTCTCAGATGGAAAGGAACGGCACCTAACGGATTAGGTCAATGATACGTTTTTTCCAAGACAGAGTTTCTTCCTCCCTAGTGCTGGGATTAAAGGCATGTGCCATCACCACCCGGTAGCCAAGGGTATTATTAATCTATATGATGTTACACAGGTCTGACAACTTTCCAAAATGTGAACAGTGCCAAAGTTGAGAAAAATCTAGGCTTCTTCTCTTCTTTCCTTCTTCTCTCGCTGTCTGAGACAGGGTCTAGGCTTCTTTTCTCCTCCTCTTTCCTCCCTTGCTCTCTCTCTTTGAGACAGGGTTTCTCTGTAGCTTTGGAGGCTCTCCTGGATGGACTCAAACTCACAGAGATCCACTTTTCTGTCTTTTTTAAAAATATGTGTGTTTATATATCATAGAGTGCATAGTGTGCCGTGTGTGTGTGTGTGTCTGAGTGTGTGCATGCGCTACATGGAGACCAGAAGAGGACGACATCAAATCTCCTAAAGCTATAGCTGGTTTTGTGTCCCCATGTAAAGGCAGCCAGGGCTCTTAACTACTGAGACATCTCTGTTCTTAAGGAGAAATTTCAGAACTCCTTAAACTAACTGTCATTGTAGACTATCTACAAGGGCAAAATGCTTAGTGCTGAACGTTTAAGTTACCTTAAAAAGTGATTATTATCCCCATAAATAATAATACTGCAGTGCAAAGGAAGGGGAGGGATAAGGAATATTTTCAGGCTAGGTATGGCAGTGTACACGAGGAGGTAGAGGCAGGTGGATCTTTTGAGTTCAAGACATTTCAAGAACACACAGCAAGTTCCAGGCCAGCCAGGGTTACATTCTGAGACCCTGTGGCTGCAGAGCCTGCAGATATCTTTACTGAGTACAGTGAGATGGAACAGAAACCCCCACTCAAATCATACCTCATGTCCCTGCTGATCCAGATCGTGCTCTTCCTAGTTCCAAACATAAAGATTAAAGTCAGCTATGAAACTTGGTATCAATAAACCACAAGCAGAAAAAACCTGAAATAATAAGGCTGTTGTATAACTCATAACAGGAATTGAATACACCTTGGGTCTCCTAAGACTCTAAAGTGGATCAGGGCGTACTTTAAAAAGCACTGCAATTGAAAGAGAAAACTAATTTTTTTAACCAGTGTGACAAAATCCTTTTACTTATAAGGATATGCTGATGTTGTGTTAAGTTGTAGGGATAACCTGAAATGACAATTGAGTTCAATATTTGTAGAAAAAAGTAATCTTACAAAAGAACTTAAAAAAATGTTTGCTAACAATTTTATAATGAACTTCAAATAGTGAGATAGACTTAATTTTGTGTATTTAAGTTATATGGACAGTACCTATTTGGAGACAAACTAATCTCAGTCTGTTTAGGCTGCTGTATCAAGAGACTTCAGAATACACAATTTTAAAAATAAATTTACATTTAATCGGTCTGCAAGCTAAAAGTTCAAGGTCAGGACAGCAGTTAAGTTCTGTGAAGATTTGCCTCAAATGGCACCTTAGTACATTTAGTAGCACACACTTGTAATCCTAGCACCCGAGGTGTTGAGGCAGGATGAGCTTACTCAGCAACATCAAGTTTAAGATCAGTCCTTGCTACATGAGTCTTATTTATCCCCCCCCCCCCATCCCTGCCCCAAGGCAGGGATTCTCTGTGTTGCCCTGGCTGTCCTGCAACTCACTGTGTAGACCAGGCTGGCCTCAAACTCACAGAGATCCTCCTGCCTCTGCCTCCTAAATGCTGGCATTAGAGGCTTGTGTTACCACCACTCAGCTACATGAGATTCTTAAAGCAGTAAAAAAAGTGACATCTGATTGCCAGGTCTTCATTTGACAGGGTCCCTTTAATCTCATAAAGGCATTTACTTTCCTTCCTAAAAGCTCCACTTGTAATATTACCACACTGCCATTCAGACCATAATCCATGCCCATGAAGGAAGATTATTAATAATAATACTGAGGAATATTTCCCTTTCCATGACTTGCTACATATCTTAAGCTGGCCTCATACATGTACTCCTTCCTTCTGCTTTGGCTTTTGAAGTGCTGAAATTCTAGCTATATGCCACCATATATCTGGCATGGATTTTATCTATCTATCTATCTATCTATCTATCTATCTATCTATCTATCTATCTATCAATCATCCATCCTTATCTGTCTCATTGTTTTGGTTTTTTAAGACAGAGTTTCTCTGTGAAACAGTCCTCGTTGTCCTAGAATTAACTCTGTACATCAGGCTGGCCTGAAACTCACAGAGATCAGCCTGACTCTGGCTCCTGAGTGTTGGGATTAAAGGTGTGTGCCACCAAAGTCTGTCTGCCATGGATATTTCTAAGATTATAGATAAAACTACAGATATGGCAATAGTATAAAAACCTGTGAACCAAAATGAAATTTAAAACCATTAACACTGTTCAGTAGAGGGAAAAATCCCTATAAACATCTCATTAAATTGAATGTGTAACT